ATCGTAAAAATTATAGTTGGTACACAGCAGTAGTTGGCCATCTATCAACCGACATCACTTTGGGTTATAAGAAAATGGAAGAAGAAACGGCTTGGTGCCCTTAGTAACAGGGGTCTGGGGGCTGCTTTAGTCAGAAAATGACTAAGGGAAAAAAATCAAATTTCTGATTAAAATCGTGAAAAGTATCAAGTTTTCGCCAAGCAAGCTGTTTATCCTCCTCTGGCACAAAGGAAATCCCTTAAGTTATTTATAAAAATGCTCATGTGCCGTGCCATCTTTGGTTTGCTAAACAAGTTCCTCTATTTTCTTACTAAACTGCAGTCTCAGTGTGTAGTGTAGGGCAGAAATCTCATTACAGCTTAAATGCAACACAGGTGAAAAATATCCTAGATGTTGTAGAATGCATTGCTTCCAACAGAGATTCTTTGGAATGCAAATAGCAGCCATGCCCCTCCAGTCTGCCCTATTCCTGGTCTGATACTAGCACCTCTTCCTAACTGATATCATTCTGGGAACTCATTATAGTTTAAGAATAGAGCAGTCACCTAGTATTCACAGAACTAGGTAATTACTGTATAGCCTGCATAACACTGGTGTGTCATAGTACAGTCAATGACTTGGCCATATCAGGACACTAACAGCAGCTGAATTTTTACCAAAATGTGTGCAACAAAATGTATGCTTAATTTGGAGAAAAGCAGGCAAAATTTCTATTTCAGGGCACAGGACAAACTGAATTATATAACTTTCAGTATTTTCTACACTGTTTGTAGTGAGAAAGCATCATTTAGACATGACAGAAATAACAGACATAACTCTGCAAACATTTTCACTGAAAACAACACAGAAATACCTACCTGTCTTATAAAACTATTTGAACTGTCTGAAAAGCTGCCATCAGACCTCTTGAACTTATTCTTCCGTTTACCTCCTTTGCCAGACTAGAGAAGAAAAGAGACAGTTTAAAATTTCAGTGCCACTCAATTATGATACATCTAAACTCGGGTCCCAGTGAACAGACAGAAGACATTTTGTAGTATTTTCTCAGCTATCCTTGCAAAGTGCCGTCTTGAAGAAACACACACAAAAATAAACAGCTGTGGCAACATTGGACAATTAACAACAAAAAAATCATAAAATAAAATTAACCTCACATAAAGGATATAACATGAAAGGTTTGACACAGGCCTGTTGTAATGGATTTCAATGATAAAGAGTAAAACTTTTGGTCTTAAAATAACTCATGGATTTTAAATATACAACTTTTGAACAGCGCATTTATTATGATTATACCCTCTGCCAGCAAAACAAGTTACGATATATCTTTTAAATATTATAAGTCTAACCAGCATCTGAATTGTTTACTGTATATTTTTCACATTCTAAGAAGAGTGCTGCTTCACACCTCTGGAGTTATTATTGGTTAGTACATCAGGTCACAGTACATGAATAGACCTGTCACCCTGGAATGACATCGTAGCAAAGACACAAATAACATGAATCCTGTCCATAATGTAAATAACATGAACACTGCTGACTCCCGGAAAACATATACAGAACTGCTCTGTATACAGACACATACATTAAGCATGGTTCCAGAAGTGACATACATTAACACCATACCTTAGCATGCAAACAAACTGAAATTTATCATATTGAATACACTGACAGAAAATGAAAAATACAAATAAAAACAACAGTGTAACCATCCCAACCCCATGCACACAAATACATAGAACTGATTTCCACCCTCTCCATATGAAGGTGAGTGTATGTGGTGATGTAGTGTTCAGCCTGATGGGCGGCCTTAACCAAACATTAACTGTAAGCCGGTTCACCTGTTCACACAAGGTGTGCTGATTACTGGACCAAAATAAGAGCCACATACTGCGCTGGTAAATATATATATATAAATATGAGCATGCATACAGAGCTGGTAAATATATGTATATGACCATGCAATGTGCTATAGCAACTGGCTAGAGATGAGGGATGACTAATAACCACCAGACAACATACCACAACCATCAAATTTGATTACACAATTCCAATTAAAAAATGTAACTGGAGAAAGCAATATTAAGTGGCCCTGTAAACCCTCTGGAGTACTGCCCATAGACTGACAGACTTTTTTTAAAACAATCAGAATCCTCCCTCAGTAATTCTATATGTGATATAAATATCTGATCATACTGAATATAGGAAGCAGCATCTTCCACATCACTGCACCATAGCAAATGTTACATATATTTCTGTGCATGCACACTGTACTACATTCCAGTACCTAAATGCAACAGGTATAATGGCAATAGCACAGGTAACATCTAGGATGCTGATTATAATATGCCATAATACAGAACAACAACTGTTTCACCTGGTCTTATCATGTCTTGTAATATCCCAAAGGAAGAGCTGAGATCTAGTTTAATGATGCATGCATGTTTTCCAGTCATAGACCTGAGAACAGAAGCCAGTTTGTTCTGGTATATCATCTAGGAGAGAGCTCATACCACTGACTATAAGGGAATGCCCTGTAGTTATTGGGGGGAGAGAGCTCATACCACTGACTATAAGGGAATGCCCTGTAGTTATTGGGGCTAAACATTTTAACATCATCACTGTTAAGGTACAACATTTCTTATCTACTTGATCAGAACCAACATGTTTATAAACTTCATAAAGAATTTATCAGCATTTTTATGTTTATAAACTTCATAAAGAATTTATCAGCATTTTTCTTAGAGAGATTATTAGCTACTTTTTGGTGACTAATACATCAGAATCCTCTTCAAATATAAATACGGTTCAGATGTCGAGATGGGACATACAAGCAAAACATGCATTTCTGTCCATCTTAATAATGATCCTCACATTTCTTATTCACTAAACATTACATCTGAAAATGGATATCCACTCCACAATTGGTCATAAATGAACCTTGAATTCATGGGCTAAATGGACAAACTGTTGTACTGTTCTATTCATATATCAGTCACGAATATTTTCTTCAAGATAAAGGGGTCCTACATGTTCATAATATTACTTCCATGTACTACGTATACCCAGGTATTCTTAAAGCTTTCCATACCAAATCAAATCATGTATACCAAGATATCGTAAGAGAAACCAAATGTACAAATATGCATGGCCAGGTAAATGATAAATACATCTGAAAAATCTTGTGGCATTTAGTGAATTTATTAATAGAAAGATAGCCAGGGATTTCATCCTCTTATGACTTGACCACAATAATACATGTCTACTAAGAGGAAAACTTATTATCAAGCAAAACAAATTAAATTCTATTTTTTCTTACTAAATTATGTTATATACCAGTCTATCTAGATATTCAAATACACAATTTTACGGTTTACCACCTCTCCCTATATAACTAAGTTATTTTATGAACCTATCAGTTAGCACTGTGAACAACAATGGACATTTCACAGAACATGATATAAATATATCTTACATCAAATCTTCCAATTTCAACCACTTCTGTATGGACAAAGACTGTGCAAAGACTGTGCCAAGAAGCTGTGCAGTCCACAACCAAGACCCACCAGGAGAATGTTGACTGGGTCCTAGCCACAACATAGGAAGACATCAAGTACAGCTGTGCTAAGCAGTCTAACACCAATAGCATGCAACACCTACTGCTGGCCTTCACATAACTAGAGACCATGATTACTGGACAATGTGAACACAACTTACCAACATTATCTTGCAGTTAGTCCAACACAGGTCAGTGAAGAAAGTAGCAGTTTATAGCTGTAATGTCAATATTTCAACTGTAAAACCAAAACTAGCTGTGTCAATTTGTCTTGTTCTGCAGCCCATGTAAAAATAGGAACTGTCCACTTCGGTACAGCACAAGTAATAGTATTCCTACCTAACTTTGGTAGCTGTTTCATCAAATATAGAAACTATTAAATCCGACTACCCACTCACAAAATTTTATTTCAAGGGATAAAACAAATTCAAAGAGATGTTGACATTATGGTTTATCTTCTATAAAAAAACTGACTTAGAACTTATTTCACTTTTTTCTTCACTGATCAACCAAATAGGAATTTCTATACAGTGCTGTACATGGTAGGAAAGTTCAAAGGCAATGTTTCCACAACACTACTTAGAAAAAATATTTTTCAAATATCCAAAGAATTAAATATTGCTTTAGTTTGGCCACACACAAATCTTTTTTACTTTATATTCGTCCCTGATCACTGATGTAAGAAAGTTGAAAATAATGAAAAAATGAAAGTAAAATGTTAACATAGAAGAAAAATGCAATATTCATAACTTTCAAATGTTACAGTCAACAAACATGAAACTTGACAACATGCCACAAAGTGAATGAAACGTATATAAGTTATATTACCAATATGAAATATGTAGTCCACTTAGTTGCAGTTAAAATGCCTCAATTATAAGTTATTTTACATTAAGGCCGGTTAGTCAATTCTGCCTGACATAGCGCAAACAGTGACAGTAAACGTCAAGAACGAAAAATGGTTTGGTACATTTGGTAAAATAATCAAGTCACAGAGACTAAATGATCACAATCGTGCTATAATGTTGTGCAACAATCTTCACCCGAAGATGACGCTTTCCATTCTTCTGATCGAGATAAGCCAGTAATAGGATGAAGGTGAGCAAATGCCCAAAAACAAACCTGATGATGTGACGACATTGGGGGCCTTGCACCGTGTCGATCTCTTGATAGAGTTGAATCCCGAGACATTGCCTCATATTAAGACACATCCAATAGTGAATATAGAAAGTTATACTTCCATGGTGTTCTTGATAACTATGATCATCAATCGGCTTTGGGTATCCCAAAAATTTCCTCCAGAATTGTTGCTGCACTCTCAACTTGGGATGTTTGGAATCGGCCTGGATGTTGGGGAACGTCAGTGAGATGAGAGACCACGAGAGTTCTATTTTCAGAAATAATTCGTTGAATAACCTTGCTTTTAGTACAAAATTGTTCTTTGTGTTCAATTTGCACATATAAATGCGGTGAAAAATATTTGAAGTGTTAAAGATATCCATTAAATTGTATTATCGTATCCCAATCTCCTTTCATTTCTCTTCGCTGAAGGGAATGCGGAGAAATTTGGAAAGGATAGTCTGATTGGACTAATGAAATATCCAATGTTTAGGTGCTATTTTACGTTTTCTTATCTTTTATACCATGTAAACTGTTACATAAATATTAATGTTATAAATAAAAGGAAGCGTTTCTTAAACAGTCCCAGAAATGAATTTATTATTTCATTTTCAGTCCATGTAATTATCTATGTGTAACGTTGTTTGCTATTGGTCTATACAGTCATGTGATTATCTATGCATATTACCGCGGTCGATGAACTGGACTGTGCGTCAGTGTCTCTTGTTCGTCCGTTTTGAGTACAAATATGCATTATTCATAAAATGTTGAACACTGGAAAACATATAACCAGGTCTGTCTATAGACTCTTCATGGCAGTGTTGTCGGATGATTGGTGTAAAAGAGTCGAATGATCATGTAATCTTCGACTTGATTGATAAATCCACTGACTTGAAAAGCTCGGACGGTTGGAGGCATGAACCAATGATCAAAATAGAACGTAGCACGGTACGAGTAGGTCTGTATGACGTTTCAATATGGAAATAACAGGGAAAATAGTTGGAAATTTGATCTCATTTAAATATTGAAGGTTCCAATAACTCTACGTTATACTCATTAGTATAAATTAATCAGCATACCTTTGACATTTCCAGTTTAAATGGTACATGTAAAAAGGTTGCTGAGTAAAACTTAATAAAACCAGTCAGTTACAGGTACTGTCAACACTGTGTGCTGAGAGCCTTGATAATCAAACTAAACAATAAATATTTAGTAATTCATTCTTAAATAAAACTGTTACTTAGATAATTACTTCTATTGTCTTAACTGCATATTTTAATAATAAATGAACATGGTGATCATAAGGATATATGCCCATATATTTATTGGATCAAACATTTTCGTTACAGACTGAAAGAAGATATGCAATGACATTTTATTTCACAATTCCAAGTGGCAATGTCTCCCTGTCCCGCCTGGAACAGTTTGCCATGGAGAGATTGCAGTTCTTGATTCAGTTAGCTGCTTGTAAAGGGGATGTAATACAGGCAACAGACCTCTGCATGCAGTTGCAGCATGTGGAACATTCAGAATGTCTTATACAGGGAACATTAAAAGATAAAATTTCTCATTTTGTATTAAGGTATAATTATGTAGTTATATTCTTGTAGTTCAGCTCCATCTCCAACTTAATTATTTTTTGATAATATTACTTTTTTTTTTTTTTTTTTTTTTTTTTTGGCTGTACTGCCCAAAGTCTAGATCTGCAGTGTCTAACACATATGGCTTAAAATGTTCAAACTTGAATATGGATAATTTGTTTGTTACGTTTGGGGACTAAAATCATAAATAGTGATAATAATAATATTTATTTGATGCCTTAAATCCCTCAAAGATCAGTTGAATTTACAATACTTAAAAATTAACATAAAAGAATATTAAGACAAAATGGAAAACAGGTAAGATATTAAACAAAAGCGAAGAGACTTTTAGCTAAGAGTTTCTTTTAAAAAAACTAAATGCAAATAAATTATCCAATCCATTTCAGACTGGCAAGTTGTACAGATGCTGGCATGGCAGATGTGATATTTTATGCAGAAACCCAGCTGTTTGCTTTCCGTCTCTCTTGTATGACAAAAGAAGAGAAACTCGCCTTTCTTACCTCCTTGTCAAAACACATGAAGGGGCGAGATCTTGAGTCAGTTAAGCACACCACAACACGGGGGGCATTGGCAGTCCTGGCAAACATACTCCATCAGATGTCTTTGACAGAATTAGCAGACACATGGGATGAAGGAAGAACAGATAGAACTATTTCTGTCCCATTTCTGTTTGCCCTCAGTTTGGTGGCTAAAAGAAAAGTGAATCTTCATAGGGGTAACATTTACTAATGCAAGTCTTTGTCATAGCATGTCTAGTCCTATCAAACTTTATATGTCAAATATTCCTGAAAAGATTTTAGCTTAGGCTATATTAGGGGGCCCTGAGTTTACACATTTATGAAAATCTATACAATGTTTTTCATCTTTACAGGATGGGCTGAAGTCCCCTACTGTATGCTGAATGACATCTTCCAGTCTGTGTTTAGCTATTTACTCCAGTCTGCCACAAAGAAGGCCAAAAAGCAAATGACCCTCATGATGGAAGATGACAGATTTAACAAATTATTTCACAAGTTGAAGGTGAGATATGGTTATACCTTACTTGAATGACTAAATAATTTATTTTCCCAAACATAGTAAGGTATTGTGTTTATTGCCTGTTTATATTGATAAAAAATGTATGAATGACAATGAATTCAACATTTTTATGTACAGACACAGATGTGTCTGTACATATAGCCATCACCTGCGTCTGTCGTCGCCGTTGCCGTTGCCGTTGGCGTGCACTTTTACCGTAAACATGATAAGTGGAAAATGGTTTTACGTATTGANGTAGGAGGCATGAACCAAAGATCAAAATAGAACGTAGCACGGTACGAGTAGGTCTGTATGACGTTTCAATATGGAAATAACAGGGAAAATAGTTGGAAATTTGATCCCATTTAAATATTGAAGGTTCCAATAACTCTATGTTATACTCATTAGTATAAATTAATCAGCATACCTTTGACATTTCCAGTTTAAATGGTACATGTAAAAAGGTTGCTGAGTAAAACTTAATAAAACCAGTCAGTTACAGGTACTGTCAACATTGTGTGCTGAGAGCCTTGATAATCAAACTAAACAATAAATATTTAGTAATTCATTCTTAAATAAAACTGTTACTTAGATAATTACTTCTATTGTCTTAACTGCATATTTTAATAATAAATGAACATGGTGATCATAAGGATATATGCCCATATATTTATTGGATCAAACATTTTCGTTACAGACTGAAAGAAGATATGCAATGACATTTTATTTCACAATTCCAAGTGGCAATGTCTCCCTGTCCCGCCTGGAACAGTTTGCCATGGAGAGATTGCAGTTCTTGATTCAGTTAGCTGCTTGTAAAGGGGATGTAATACAGGCAACAGACCTCTGCATGCAGTTGCAGCATGTGGAACATTCAGAATGTCTTATACAGGGAACATTAAAGGATAAAATTTCTCATTTTGTATTAAGGTATAATTATGTAGTTATATTCTTGTAGTTCAGCTCCATTTCCAACTTAATTATTTTTTGATAATATTACATTTTTTTTTTTTTTTTGCTGTACTGCCCAAAGTCTAGATCTGCAGTGTGTAACACATATGGCTTAAAATGTTCAAACTTGAATATGGATAATTTGTTTGTTACGTTTGGGGACTAAAATCATAAATAGTGATAATAATAATATTTATTAGATGCCTTAAATCCCTCAAAGATCAGTTGAATTTACAATACTTAAAAATTAACATAAAAGAATATTAAGACAAAATGGAAAACAGGTAAGATATTAAACAAAAGCGAAGAGACTTTTAGCTAAGAGTTTCTTTTAAAAAAACTAAATGCAAATAAATTATCCAATCCATTTCAGACTGGCAAGTTGTATAGATGCTGGCATGGCAGATGTGATATTTTATGCAGAAACCCAGCTGTTTGCTTTCCGTCTCTCTTGTATGACAAAAGAAGAGAAACTCGCCTTTCTTACCTCCTTGTCAAAACACATGAAGGGGCGAGATCTTGAGTCAGTTAAGCACACCACGACACGGGGGGCATTGGCAGTCCTGGCAAACATACTCCGTCAGATGTCTTTGACAGAATTAGCAGACACATGGGATGAAGGAAGAACAGATAGAACTATTTCTGTCCCATTTCTGTTTGCCCTCAGTTTGGTGGCTAAAAGAAAAGTGAATCTTCATAGGGGTAACATTTACTAATGCAAGTCTTTGTCATAGCATGTCTAGTCCTATCAAACTTTATATGTCAAATATTCCTGAAAAGATTTTAGCTTAGGCTATATTAGGGGGCCCTGAGTTTACACATTTATGAAAATCTATACAATGTTTTTCATCTTTACAGGATGGGCTGAAGTCCCCTACTGTATGCTGAATGACATCTTCCTGTCTGTGTTTGGCTGTTTACTCCAGTCTGCCACAAAGAAGGCCAAAAAGCAAATGACCCTCGTGATGGAAGATGACAGATTTAATAAATTATTTCACAAGTTGAAGGTGAGATATGGTTATACCTTACTTGAATGACTAAATAATTTATTTTCCCAAACATAGTAAGGTATTGTGTTTATTGCCAGTTTATATTGATAAAAAATGTATGAATGACAATGAATTCAACATTTTTTAATCAAATAATTTAACCTAAGAGCTATATTTTATCTAAGATTTGATATACATGTTGTCCCCTTATTGATTCCTGAAAATGGATTTTGGAAATTGGATTCGTGTTGATATGGTGCTCTAAGTAGTGATTTGATTCCAAGCAGGTATTGAAGAATGCGTACTTTACTGCCATTTCCTACAGGATGTGTTTTTGAGTTACTCCTCCAAGCAGAACTGTGGGATCTCCTGTACTAAAGTGCCTCTCAGATGTGAAGATGTCGATGCAGAGACAGATTTCTTTCCTCCTTGTATGCGCCACCTCCACCAACAGCTGAGACAGCGACACCGGCTGTCGCACCACTCCAGGGTACGAGAATTACCTGTTTATGGCAAACGTGTGGTAGTTTAGGAGCAATTTTCATGTTGGAAAGGTTAAATATTGGTACCCAAGTCACAGTAGTAGTAGTAGTATTTTCCTCCTTAAATTGACACTGATAAAGTAAAATGTGGTAAAGATGTAGTTCTGATAGTCCGTATGTGCCCCCTTCCATACTGTCAAGTCAAAATGATGTCCATTGTTTTCAGGTCAAGTACACCCTGTTCCAGAAGGAATGTGGCCTTCCTGTCCATGAAGCACTGAGATTCTGGAGAGAGGAGTACTCACAGGAACCCCACCACAGTGCAGGCTGTAGACATAACTGGCGTGAAGAGAGGGACAGGTATACATACAATATCAGACATTTGTATGGACTGGAGGGTGCCAGGAAGAACTACAGAGGACACGACTGTGACACTATCCAGGTAATAATAATTTATGTCACTCATTTATATTACACTTTCAACCAGGTAGGTTACAATGTTGTCAAGTGAATTAATACTTCGTAGTATTAATTTTGTCAAACTGCATGGAGAGCAACCTTACTAATTCTGGTATTTTTATAGACAAATTACACTAATTTCTTGCACTTAATGTTGAAATAATTCCATAAAGAATTTACGGAAATCATCAAGTGAAATACCTTTTTGACATTAACTTAGGGAATGTTCAGATAAACCCATTGTACTAGCTGGATTGACCTAACTCTTTGGGAGATTCTTCCTAAGTGCAAGCACTGTAATTGTCTTAAATGCCTAATGCCTCCTTGAGTTGCTAAGGGGTAATTAACTAATGAACTAGCTACTCAAGGAGGTGTGTCAGACAATTAAGTTGATTGCAGTTTAGCAAGAATCCCAGGCAGAGTTGGATCAATCAAGTTGGTACAGTGTTTGAATCTGGACACTGTCTTTCATCTAGCATGAGTACTTTCTCTGCTGCCCATCTGTTAAGCTATCTGCTGAGGCAGCCGGGTTCATCCTCTGATACTGGGTAGTTTATGTTAGGTTGACGGGTGAATTTTGTCTTGACTGGTACATCGCAAACGGCTTTCTGCATTGTCTTTATTGCTAGCATGCATCGCTTGGTTAGTTGATAACATATTATTATACTTTTCAGAAACAGCAACCAGGGCCAAATGAGGAGTGGGGTTGTCCTTTCCAGCACTTTGACCAAGCTAAACTCTCAGAAATCATGGACATTGAAGACATCTCACAGACTTTCCAGTCCAGAATATCACACCTGTCTGAACATGGTGACCCCAATGCTGCATGCAAGGTATATTTCCTAGCCAAGTTAAAAAAGATGGCTGATAGGAATTGCATAGAAACTGATCTTAAAACCTGTGATTGCCATTGTAATGAAACAAGACAACGGATCTCTGCTGGCTGTAAATGGACATGTGAAGACACTAGGACATTGACAGATGTGACAGAGGTCAAAAGAGATCAGTTGAATATAGGGGAGAAAAAGAAGATTGTGCCAAAACAAATATCCTGTTCAAATTGCAGAATTCTCTGTAATAGGACTCCTTTTGACAAAGTGCCATTGCAAGAATTTCATAAACCACATGAATATTACCAGAACTTCAAATTTTTGTTTGAAGGACTAACAAGTGTTAGAGATAACAATGTTGATGTTGAATCCACCTTTTGAGTGAGGTGCAATTAAAAAACCAAAAGATTTATTTTAGATATCATTTTAGCTAAAGGATGAATGGTGCAACTGTTGAAAAGTATTTTAATGCATATATAGTAAGTAAATAACAAATTGAGGAATTATTAGTTTTAAAACTTTATTTTCACAAAAAATAAAAAGCCAGGAAAAAAACTTTTTATTTGTTTTCTTATTTTTCATTGCCCTCCACCTTTTAACATGATTATGCATGAAGTCAAAACCAGTTTCTATTTTCCTAATCTTGGTACTGAAGATCTTTCTTGAAAAAACATCTGTTGCCATAAAGATGGGATATGTCTGTTTTAAACTAAACCACAACTTTCAACTATGATTGTTATAAATTGTTCAAGATAAAAAGAAGTATTTGTAATATTGGCCCCTGAACTTACAAAAGTCGTAAGTCTTATTTCTACTCTCCTTAAACCATACCACCTGACCTAACAACATTATGCATATCTATTGGAAGAAATAAGATTCTTTGGAATTCTTAGTGCATAGAAATAAAAATACCCCATTCTTAAAAATAACAAGTAAAAATTATTCTGTGTATATAACATATCTTCAATACAAAAGACAATACCGCAGGTGCTTTTCTACTTGCTTTCTCCCTTAATATCATTAACACTTGGTGGCAAGTAAGGCCTGTTATTTGACAATAAACAATTGATTTGTTTTACTGTTCTTTAACAAAAAAATATAAATGTGTGTGCAGCACCTTCATAGATAAGTTGCCAACAGTCTACTGGCATATCATGATCAAAACTTCATGATTTGCTGACAAAAATATACCTAAAAATGCAGTCATCTTGTAAATATAAGGTAAGTTGCTTAGCAACACGAGTCATTAATTAATGTCCCCAAAGGAACTGCTGAGACTCTTCTGTAAAACTTAATATAAGTTACAAGTAGCAGTATGTTTGCACTAAAATTAACATACTGTGTGTAATACCAATATGTTGATATATATATATCTATTATGCTTTTAATTTTTTGAACTGATGTTTCTGCCTTTGTGTTTCTAATGTAAAACTGACTTAAAGCCTTATTGCTCTTTTTCTTTATTGACAGTCATGCCTCCCAAGGATGCTATACTTTCAGGAACATGCAGTTTGTCCTTCAAATCATCAGCTGGGCTGAAATTTAAAATGGAAAAAAAAAATTATGAATGAATGAATACTGAATACCACAGAGTGAATGTTCTTATTCTTCCCTTAATTATAAAAGTGATATCACATAAGAAGAAAAAACTAACTGCGGTCACTGCCATTCATTTCCCTCCAGAAGATCAGTGGTACTGATCACAGCATTCCATTGTTACATCATTACTTCCTAAGTCTGGTATTAGATTTTTCCCTCATACTAAACTACATTTTCTATGCTTCCAAATTCAGTAAAATTTACTAAAAAATTTTATTCTAGTTTTTGATTGCTCTTAACGTGAATGCCCTGAATCTGTTGAAGCTTGCACAAGCTCTAGATGAGTCAGAATCCTGACCCAAGGAAGAAGAAAGAGTTGTGTAACTTACGTCGACTTGAGGTAGCACAGGATATTAGTCCACAGAAAGGACCAGCAGGCCACATACACTGTCCTTAGGTAAGTTGGTACATAGAAAAAATTCACTGACTGCACCGTAGGCCAAAAGACACAACCAGTCTGCAAATAAAAAACTTTCATTGCTATAATAAGCAGGTAATTATATGATATTATATATAATAAATGCATGTAAGAAATTGCAATTAAAATTATTCACAAAATCTAATAAACACAAGAATAAAGTATAACAATAAAAGTATAAATATGAACCTATTCAAACACAATTACAAACTTCTTACTGCCAGATCTCAAATTGATTAGTCACTGTGCTACAGGAAAAACATTACCAGAAAAGTTTTAGGCCACTTCTGTTTTGCTTCTTCAAAGACATTTTCCTTTCTCTCTAAGACACTCAAACCTTTAATTAAAAATTAAAAATAAATTTTAATGCTTCAAATGTTCACATTTCAATGATGAAATCAAATATCTCATCTGCATGTTTAAAGCAATTGCTTGGTAAACTTTCAGAGAGCCCTAATTAAAGTCCAAAAGTCACTTTATTATTGCATTTCACATTCAAGTTTCAATTGAGTTACAATTTCTTGGCCAATAAAGAAAATTCATTGTAGCCTTTTTTCAAAACATGAAATATTCATAAGCATTTCCCACAACTGTTAATTAAAGCGAAAACAACTCTTTATATGGAATTTTAAAATCCACAATAAATGCATTGAAACAACACATACGAAAATAATAAATTCCATTTTACCACAAAAACAGTGGCTTTGGCAATTATCCAAAAAATTTGTGCTTGCTAACAGACCACATGCAGTATGTGGACCTGCATAGATGGCTACCCTATGTTATCTACCTTTAAGAAGACAGAGAAAGAAAGACACTTACAAAGAAAGACACTTCAAAGAATCTTTGGGTGTGGGAATGGATTCATTAAACATTGGAAAGTATATGGGAAAAGTGTTGTTTACCTGCCCCCCCCCCCCCCCCCCCAAAAAAAAAAAAAAAAAAAACTGTTTAACGACATTTTTCTGCCAAAATGCAGAGGCTCTATCCCTTTATGGACAAAGGTCAGTTCTGGTTATTTCATTACTAAGTAAGATATATAATGAAAACAAACACAGGATACATTTCACCTACCCACATAAAAGACCATCAACAGGATCCCTCCAGCAATTCCCTGATCACAAGCTATTTTCTTCAGTACAGCTCGGGCAGAACGTCCAGGAAAGACACGCTCCAGAAACGGATACCACGCTGTATAAAATGGTCCAAACAAACTCCCTGTCAACAGGGTGATTCTGCCAGTATTGGCCCAGTTATACTTGTCAACTCCCTTTATGGTCTGTTGACTGATATCACCGCTGGCATAAAGAAAAGATACAGTTGCCATATTACTTATCAATGGATGCTTGACATAGCATTGTTGGATAAACTTTAATGACCTCATAAAAGACATGTCAAGGTGTGTGTAGTAGCCTGGTTACTCAGGTATTCTCTACCACTTGACTACCAGTATCTTCTTCGAGTGCACCAATCTTCTGTGTTCAGCAGGTATGTTCTTGTAATAAATAATAAATATATTAATATAAATATAAATATAATAAAATATAATTTAAGCCACTTTAAATGTCTAAACTGGTAATTATGATATGAACATCAATGTCTCAAATTTGTTTATTCCAGATGTTAATGACAACTGAAAATTAGCAGAAATACATAGGCCAGGATAAAAAAAAAATAAAATAAAATAAAAACTGGATTAAAAACAATTGTTTTTAACATGCACAATTGCACTTCTTTCACTGTAAATTACTTGTTCATGATATGACAAATCTAGAATCCAGTACTGTTAGTCAGTTATTCGGAATTTGAAAATTTAAATGAAGATTGGCTTATTTCCACATGCTTACTAGTAGTTTGTTCATAAGTAAAGAAATATACTGCTATTAGCAGTTGATGAATCGATTTGAATACATTCAGATCCTGTTATATTTTTCTCTCCGAATCCACCCCCACCCCCGTGTGTGTGTGTGTGTGTGTGTGAGAGAGAGAGAGAGAGAGAGAGAGAGAGAGAAAGAGAGAGGTCCTCTAGTTGATGAACCACTGGCAGTTTTTTCTGATAAAAAACAATAGAGATACCATGGGGTTAGTATCAGTTGCGACTGACGTGTCACGAAGTTACAGGAACTTCATTTAAAATCAAACCTGTAGAAAACAACGTTCAAATGTTGCTGTTGTCTCCGTGTCTACTTTTCATGGACGCTGCCATATTGAATCTCGCATATCCTCGCGAGAGTTGCAGCCATGCGTGATGGTGAGATAGAAGCATGTTAGCAACATGTAGGTTTTTTCGCCAATTCACCAAGAACGCACGGCCTCTTATCGCCATTAAAAGAAGGTAAGCAGACAAGGATAGGTATACGCTGTACTTTTGGAGATTTCTTCCTAATTTTTTGCAGAATTGTTTTGATAATCCTCTTGTGTTCCCTGTGCCGTGATGTGGCAGACGACCCTTTTCACAAAATATTTTAATCGAAAGTTGGCTGAATTCGAAGACCAAAAATATCAATGTTCTTTACGCCTGCATAGATCCTCTATGGTACACTTAAGTGAGAATTTAGAGTCCCCCCCCCCCCCCCCAGCTCTCTCTCTCTCTCTCTCGAGTTAAATATTTTATCAAAAGATCTGTAAATGCCTTTCTGGAAAAAGATAGGCCATTCAAGTCACTTCTCAGGAAAGAGGGCTTCTAGATCTGATGAATCTTTCAAAAATCATTTGTTAAGTTCAGTGATGGAAGAGAGTGTCTGTATTTAACCTAATCAAATCTGCTTTGAATGGACACTTGACAACTAGGTAGAAATGGAAGCCTGTTATTTAGATAATTAATTGACTGTTTCAGAGGAGATATTTCTGGAGCAGTGATGAGAGAAGATCATTGGAGAAACTTCAGTTCACAACAATCCAAGATGGATACCATTCTGAAGAGAGTAAAGAGACGTTTTGTTGAAAAACTTGCTGTACCTGAAAGGTTTAATACACAGTATGATACAACTGGCAATGGTTTTGAGAAACAAAGAACAGGTCTTACAATGAACCAAAGTTTTGAACCAGCCATCAAAAAGATGAAGATGCAACATTCATTCAGTAATAAAGAGAGGCAGCTTGGTTGTACACTGCAACATAATGGTATTACACATGATATAACAAAGGCCATGCCTCAGACATCTCATGAGAATCAAAACAATACCAGATATTCAGGAATTGAAGGCATCTGGAAAGGTATCCAGAAAATGACTAAATCTATGAAAAGGAGGCTTCGTAGAAAAAGATCTTTAAATAAGATAGCAAAAGATGGAGCTTCTGCAGACATTAGTCAAGAACAATCATTAAAGTTATTATTAACCAAACCTCTAGAGTCAGAGCACCAAGTAACTAAAAGTTTAAACAATACAGTTGTAAATGGTAGAGTTAATTATGAGCCAGGAACATCAGATTCAGGAGACGATGATGAGGATAATACACATAACAGTGGTAGGACTTCACAGTCTGGTCTGCCCACAGATGACTGTTATGTTGCCCTGGATTGTGAGTTTGTAGGGATTGGACCAAAGGGAAGAACAAGTGCTTTAGGTACAGATGTATATAAAATTGATTAATATTGAGATTGTAATTTTTAAAATGCATTGAGTCAGAGAAGATGTTTTTAACTTTTATCAAAGATCAGCTGTTGCCATTGAATTTAGCCCATTGTATACTTTAGTTGTGAATCCTTGCCTCAAGAATTTTATCTTTGATACTTAAAAGAGTCGAATGTGTCTGTGTTAATAAGATAAATAACGTGTTTAGATGATGTAAACCTAAGAGTCCCTGGAAAGTGTATGAGGTCACATCATAATATTTGTTATTGTTTACTTTTCAGGGCGTTGTAGTATTGTTGATTTCCATGGCCGGGTTGTCTTGGATATATACGCCAAACCCGAGGAGGTGATCACTGACTACCGCACACCCTGGAGTGGTTTGAGGAAGAAAGACCTGGTCCAGGCAGTCCCCACCATCAGCGCAGTCAATCAGATTAAAAAGACTGTCAAAGTATGGCATTTGTATTAATATGAATAGGTTAATTTTGTTTGTGTTTTAAACCCGATTGTTATCTAGGTTGGCCATAAGCTTATGGTATGAAAGTATTTTCGGATTGTGTTTGATAATTATTGTATATGATCCAACTACCAAGCTAATGAACATTTGTGCTAACTGATTATTATTATAATTTATTATTATTATTTTGAGAGCTCTGTCCAGACTTTGACATTCTGGCTGCTTAAGCAAGATTTCCCCTGCAAAAACATATTGTTAATTGAAAATAAGTAGCTTATAATTATGAAACCGTTCAACAATTTTGGAGGCATCACTTTATGGCATTTATCTGTTCAGAAATGATAGGAAAGTATTACTTGGCTCAGATAAGTTCACAAATAGTAATTATGTACTAGACATATGTAAAAGTTTTGCAAGAGCCTTTACAACTTTGCACATTTTTTTTCTTTGCAGGGTAAAATTATAGTAGGCCATGCGCTGCAGAATGACTTCAAAGTCCTCCAGCTGGGCCATCCCTGGCCTGAGACCAGAGATATATGTACTTACAAACCTCTTCGAGCCATGGCCAATTATGAAGTGCATAATGCTGCATCATTGAAGAAACTTTCTGCATCTCTTCTTAGTAAGTTGATTGCTAGTTAAGTTTTTTATTTATGCCAGAACACTGTAATGGAGAGTGTTCAGTGTTAGAAGCTTTTGTTTTTTGTATTTGGCAGAACATGTGATTTTAGTATTTTGGTATAAATTTTTCACTTCTTTTAACAGTACTTAACTAGTCTTAAAAGACACTAATTAACAATTTATGAAAATTGTCTTTTAAAAGTGAAATTTAGAAATTAGAAGTTTTTAAAGCGAATAAAGCAACCTAAGATTTTTTCATTTAATATTTAGAGCGCAAAATCCAAAGTGGTGAACACTGCTCTTTGGAAGATGCCAGGGCCACCATGGACCTCTTCAAGTTAGTTCGAGATGAGTGGGAAAAAGGACTTCTGAAGAAATCTGCTCATTCCAAAAAACATAAAAAGAATCCAGAAACAGAAAAATCATTCTTGGATGATGAATATTGGGAAGAAGAAAGTGAAAATGTTAACAATGGGATTTGTAGTTTTGAAGAAAGGGATCAGAAGTGAAAATTGTTTGGTATTATTTTATGGATGCTACATTATTATTTATAACTAGATTTTGACTATTAATTTTCTAGTATCAAACACACATAGGTCTTTAACATGGTCTCAATTAGTATTTAATACTTTTAAAAACCTGTGGGAAGCAAAATTTAAGTGAGCTTATGATTAATAATTTTGTATAGATTAAAGTTGATAATTTCATATATTTGATAGCAATATCGTAGTGCAGGAAAACATTTGAACTTGCAATGTTTTTTCATTGACATAAAATGTGTTCAGAATGTATTGGAATTTGTCTTCATTTCAGTGTCTTGAGACCGGTTAAACTAAATATTTCAGGTGGAAAGATGGCTTTCGTAGACTGCTAAGAACCTAAACAACAAAGTTGTGTTTCACAAAAAAAAAAAACTTATGTGTCATTTACCTTTTTTTGTCTGGATTTTTCCTAGAGCACAATGAGATTAACTTGACAGTTATTTTTAACTGGCATAACTGCCAAGAGCCCAGTTAAGTTAGTCAACTACATTTATTGTGACACAATTATTTTTCAGATGCTTAAGATCAGTACCGCAAGGTCACCTTTACACAATCAGACATTCAATTTTAGTTTAAGTTAAGTTTAACCCCAAAATGCAACTTAAAACTTAACTGACCCCAACTGTTTGACCGTGTATCAAATTGTGATTGGAAAAGATGTAAATGACAGGGAGTGATGTATAACTTATGGTTCTTTCAATATGGATTACTAGTTGCAGGATGATATGATTTTAATTTTGAATTCAATGACATCTTTATTTTGTTAAAATTTAGAAATGTCAAAAATGCCATTACATCTTAAATGTATAGACTTTATTGCTGGGATATAATGAAACTCATTTGAATAGATTCAAACCAATGTGATATAAATAATAATGTACTTGGATTGTGTTTTGTTATTTATTAATGTTATCAATTCTCTTAGTGTATTCTACTGCCTTTATGGAGCTGCCAAATTATTTGTTTCCCTCAGAGTCAACTTCTATCAAGCTAACATCTCTCTTGCCTAAGTATGCCATCTAGGACTGGGTTCCCATACCTAGATCGATCTAACAGGATCGATCCATCTCCGAGGGGTTTTTCTCTAAATTACTTTCAGCTTAAGTGGCTTAGATGTCTGGCATGCCTACTGAAGCTGCTAAAGGATAATTTTAATTAAAATTATCCCCTTGCAGCTTCAGTAGGTGTGACAGACATCTAAGCTGGTTATGTTGACTATAATTTAGCAAGCATCCCCTCGGATATAGATCAATCCACAATTAGAACAATAGGGTCTGGGAATGGTCCCTAGAGTAACCCATGAATTCAGGGGGGTTAATTCTGATCCAGGCATGCCCCTGACGTAATCTATTGCCAGCCAGTTGCCTGTCTGAACATCTCTTTAAGATCAGGAAAAACCAGTTGTTCAACAGGAATCCTTCCTCATTTGTACCAATTTCTTGAAGACTAAAAGTTGTCTCCATGTTCAGTTCAGTCCATTCTTTGAAAACCAACCCCACAGTTTTAACAAAGAAGTTGTTAACCATCCCACTGTCTCCGCCAAATGTTCAGAACCTCCCTGGAATAAGGAACGTCCCAGGGTCATCGTGACTGTCACTGGTCAGGTATTGAAACCAGAGCTGCTNTGTTATTTATTAATGTTATCAATTCTCTTAGTGTATTCTACTGCCTTTATGGAGCTGCCAAATTATTTGTTTCCCTCAGAGTCAACTTCTATCAAGCTAACATCTCTCTTGCCTAAGTATGCCATCTAGGACTGGGTTCCCATACCTAGATCGATCTAACAGGATCGATCCATCTCCGAGGGGTTTTTCTCTAAATTACTTTCAGCTTAAGTGGCTTAGATGTCTGGCATGCCTACTGAAGCTGCTAAAGGATAATTTTAATTAAAATTATCCCCTTGCAGCTTCAGTAGGTGTGACAGACATCTAAGCTGGTTATGTTGACTATAATTTAGCAAGCATCCCCTCGGATATAGATCAATCCACAATTAGAACAATAGGGTCTGGGAATGGTCCCTAGAGTAACCCATGAATTCAGGGGGGTTAATTCTGATCCAGGCATGCCCCTGACGTAATCTATTGCCAGCCAGTTGCCTGTCTGAACATCTCTTTAAGATCAGGAAAAACCAGTTGTTCAACAGGAATCCTTCCTCATTTGTACCAATTTCTTGAAGACTAAAAGTTGTCTCCATGTTCAGTTCAGTCCATTCTTTGAAAACCAACCCCACAGTTTTAACAAAGAAGTTGTTAACCATCCCACTGTCTCCGCCAAATGTTCAGAACCTCCCTGGAATAAGGAACGTCCCAGGGTCATCGTGACTGTCACTGGTCAGGTATTGAAACCAGAGCTGCTCAAATCGTGTCCTGTCCAGAACATCTTTGGTACCCTGTAATGTAATACAAACGCCACAGTTACAGATTATTACCAGATCTGTTCAAATCGTGTCCTGTCCAGAACATCTTTGGTACCCTGTAATGTAATACAAACGCTACAGTTACAGATTATTACCAGATCTGTTCAAATCGTGTCCTGTCCAGAACATCTTTGGTACCCTGTAATGTAACATATGCGCAGTTACAGTCATCGTGCGGTTTTGATGTTTTATAATCGTACCAAATTGCAAAACGTACATCTTTCATGGTTAAATGACTGCAGAACAAATTCCAAAAATGAAAAAAGTTATGAAATATATTTTTACATTTTACAGTGTGCTAAAGAAGCATATTCATTTACATGAACTTTGATTTTTGTTCCAATTTAAAAAAAAGTTGGTGAGCATTATATTCGTGTATGAGTAGACGTTATAGCTGTTGGTATAATTTTGTGTACCTCTGTCATTTTTTTAAACGCCGTCTCACATAGCCAGTCGTTAATATCAAACTCAGCAAAGCACTCAGTGAACTCTGCCAGATCGATCACTCCATCACCTGCAATGGTAATTGTCACGTAATGTGTTTCTGTATACTTACTATGACTGGTGTTCTATTATTACTGTAAATGATGTCTGCACACCATATTTCAATGAAAGGAAATATGAAAGTTACAGTTTAATTTGATGGAAAAATGACTGCAAGAGTAACACAGTATTCTGGAAAACGACCGTAAATATTATTTGAATTCAAATTTTTTTAAAAAGTCATTGCTTTCGTGAATGATAAAAATGAGAGAATGATGTACATTATTTTTAAAACGGCAGGTTGGGAATAAAAATTGGTCGATGACTTTAGAACCTTAGAAGAACAGCAGTTTTCTGGGGTTGACGTTTATGTCTTGTCAATCTTTATTTGGATTCAAACTAAAAGTATGGTATAACACATAAAAACTATGACGCTTTGATTTATAATTTCACGTATAGAGCGTTAAGTAGTGCAGCTAGTTATATTTTCCAACTTGTTTTGAAAATGTGAAGTCATTAAATGTAGGCACCGTTTAAATCTATGACATCAAACAGGAAGTCCATGAGGTCTTTCTGCCAGCTATAGTCCACCTTCCCGTCCAGTGACGTGTCCGGCCACCCGGCTCTAGACTGGGCCGCCGCCACAAATTCTGACCAGTGTGTTAACCATTCTTCAAGGTTCATCTACAATTTGAAAAACTATAATAAATAAAATAAAAGGCGTTGTCGGTAGGGCGCTTCAGTCACGCTTTTGTGGTTTTCTTTGTTGAAATTCCCAGGCACGACATTTTTCTCCACGAAAGGACGTACGATTTTTGTAGTTTGAAACAGACTAATTTTACTTACTGACGTGCAACGCTCATCAGATAAAGTGTTACTTCATGGGAAATCTAGACCATGGTTGTAAATAATGAAACATCATTTGAGCGCTGGGATATCAGAGAACCAGGCAATATCTGAATGAAAGGTAAAGGTTACTTGGAACGATTACAAACGAAATTAACGCCTTAAGATCGACGAAGAACTCACGTGCAATTCGCAGAACTCACGTGCATTTCGAGCGGTCTGCTAGACTTGTGCGCTCTGTTGCCTTTCATCAAGCCTGCCATGATGGACGCTATCCTCTCCTGTAAAATCTTGTAACTGGGGTCGGAGACTTCACTGTCATGGATGTCTGCAACTTTCTTCAACAAAAATAAATGTAACACAGGATTAACAAAGTCCGGGTTATTGTCGTTTTCCTGAATACAACATCCGTAAATGCCCATATACTGGGTGGACTACCCCCACATATCTCACCCGGGATCAAACCAAGATAGTAGAGAATAACACCAAGAAATAACCCGCATGGCGTATACTCAGCTCTCTACCAGGATGACTGCGTAATATAACTGGAAGCTTCGCCTCACCTGCTAGAATATATCTTATTACGGAGCACGTGATCGGTTAATAAATCATCTTTTTTTACTTGTGAACAAAAATGGAGTTGATTCTGCTTGGCGGGCTTACAGAGACGGATTTTATGGCTAATACCGCCATTCTAAAGGTCACTGTTAGGTCACCTGCTTCTTTAATTGCCTTTACTCGAGGCATTAGTTCCAAAAATTTGAAAACAAAAACTTTGGTTCCTTAGTAAGCATTATAATGCATGAGAACTTCAAAGTTGAAGTGCAGGAAAGGATTATTTCAATACATCAAAATATGTTTTTTTAATCAAAGTAAAAAAGTGATTCATATAACAATGCTCAGTATTATAACTAACAAGGAATCGCGGTTAATATCCTGCGTATCTTACCCTTAGTAAATTGACAAAATCCGTTCTGGAGACTACTTTGTCGTGTGTCGCATCTGAAACAAAAAGTGGGCTATATTATTAATGACATGATAATTCATTCACATAGAGTGAGCATTTGTTGGCTTATCGTTCACCTTTATATAAACACAATATGTACACAATGGAATTCAAAATATTAAGTGTTTTAAACAAATAAATTAGACAGAAGTTGTATCGAGGGATTTAAAAAAACAGACAAATAACATCTAGTAGACAAAACAAGAGCGTAACAGAAGTTTATTGCCTGGTATACATCTTTAGAATAATTAGTGTGAACTTCTTTTTATATTTCTGTAAGAATGCAGGTGGTTTTCCTCGATATTTACAGATGTGCATCTCAGATATTCGCTGGTAAGTATATAATATTTTATCTGTTAGATCACCATTCTTTCTACACACGATAGTACAGGCCATTTTACTGCCTGCGGATCCCGAACGCATTATCTGTACTGTACAGATTAATTGTTCACCAGATGGGTGACGAGGTGCTTATATATGACCAAGGTTCTTATATCTAACGCTAAAGACCAGATATTCACTGCAGTGACATTACATTTACATATGAAGTGGCTGTCAACGAAACATTTAAAAACGCTACACCCTGTTAAGTAGGTTAATGAAAGTCGTATTACTCCCTCGCGGTTAATGAAGACACAGAACCCGTTCTGCAGTGACAGCGTTCGCTGTTTTCACCCGAGACTCACGATATCATGAGTCCTTTTTTTTCAAAAGGAAGAAATGTTTATGCAGTGCACGTCTCTCTACTGGCTGGCTTACCGGTACAGCTTGATGGTACAAACCGCAGCACGGAGCCTCAGAACTTATTAAAAAGGCCAGAAGCAAATCCTACCTGACAAGTGTTGCATTTATGATGGAATGAACCGACAGTATTAACATTCTCTACGCCCATAGCGGTTGTAAACATACTACATACTAAAACTGATATATTTAATGCTCTGGACTAGTGACAAATAACATCTGTATTATTTATTGTTAACAACGTTAAATGTTGATAAATGCAATAGCACTTGGTATTAAGTACCAGTATATTGGGAAGACGCTGAAGGTCATTTAATGCATGAACCTTGCGTGACAACGTCATTTATTCCCACGCTCTGAGAAGATTCTTACAATAAAAATTCTAATATTTGGTTGTCGTTTTAAGTTATAAGAGGTGGTAAACTCTACATTCAAACACGGCTGATTTGGCCGCGTGGTATGACCTAGGTTTTAACTCCAGGACAAGTGCCTTGTGCCGTCTGCTGACAGATCATTATCAAACCTTAATTAATATTATCAATATTACTTACCAAACAACACAACAAAAACATGCTCATATTTGGCTTTCAAAAAATCAGATAGTTCATATCCTTCACCATGTCCAGTTGCCATGGATGGTCTGGGTGGTCAGGTGTTCTACGGGATATATAAATAATGACATACAGGGACGCTCTCTCGCTGCGACACAGTTAAGCAGGCACAGTGTATATTTAGCCAGCAGACCACTACACGGTAGAGTCGCGTTGGGAAGTGAACATGAAAGTGCCTCGGCGCATAGGTGAGGCGATTTACACGCCAGTCACGCAGTCTGTCGTAGTAAATATTATCAGGCAGAGCCACTCGCATGGATTATGAGTCAGTTAGTGATGGCTTGTTGCGAGTTGCTAAACGTAACCGCTTAATTACCAACCTCTGCATGACAAAAAAAAAAAAAAAAAAAAAAAAAAACGGTTCCCCAAATGCCTGTGCGTTGAAGATATATGTAGTTTTTTTAAAGACCAACAGAACCTTTTGGTTATTCATAAGAAAATGTAATTCTTTTAGAATACAATTGTCAAGAGCAGGAAAAGCGCTCTCCGTTTGAAATCCCTAACCACGAAAGGTTGAGAGTAAGTTGTCCATTTATATTAGTCAAATTTCATTTCATTTTTGTTTGTTTGTTCTGTCAGATAAGGGATTATGCCTGTAGAATGGACTTTGATCATAGTTGGCCTTTTATTAGGATAGTTCTTATTTCACTCTAAGATTCAATCTTCAATAATATTTTTTCATCATATTCTAAAATTTCACGTAAATATTAGTAGGATGCGCAGGGTGTTATGTCTGTAACTAGCAAAACAGGATGAGAAAGCGCACAAAAAAAAAGACAAAATTTCAGCCAAGTAACCTGTTATAGGGCCCTATAGTAAAATTGTCCTCGACTACTATTTTACGTTTACCAGTCGAAGCATTGGATTTTTCACCATTGTAAACACCCCCAACACACTTAACAAAATCATAAGGTACCCCATATCGCCCCCCCCCCCAAAAAAAAGAGAATTAAAAAAAATTTGTACTTAGTGCCCTTCCCCATCCCCAACAAGAAAAAGCCTGGATGCGTCCCACCAGCTTGTTTTCATACAATACACTCATGTAGAGCAGAAAAATTGAAACAAAAAAGTACAATTCAAACTCCTCAGATAGACTCTCTTTCTATTCTCACACTGAACGTCACGCTTGGCTATATACAGGCGTTAATTAATGTCAACCAATTAAACTTGATCAAAATAATTAGCTCATAATAAGGCCTTATAAAATGCTGGGGGCGGCTGTTGAAACTACGGTACGACTCAATTAGTATTTTATAAATATCCACATAAAATTGTTTTTCAAAATGTCTGTGCGTGTGGATGGGAGGGGAACTTTTCGTTTTTCAAGACAAAATTAAATATTAAAGTTCATTGCAGTCGGCATTTAACGAACGCGAAACGTTGAAGCTTACGTGAATCCAACGCGTGACCATAAAATACGCCAGTCTTCAGGGAAAAACGTTTTGGAAAAAGCCGGTAGGACCTACTAGTTCCTATGTTTAGGCCTACTGATAGATCCAGGACTTTAAAAAAGCGCGTTTCTGTCTGTCCGTCT